ATTTTGGATATAATAATCTTGGTAATTGTTATCGGCATGGAATAGGAACTCGTACAGATTATAATAAAGCTTTTGACTCATATATTAAAGCAGCTAATGGAGACAATATATTAGGCATAAAAAACCTTGCTAATTGTTATAAATTTGGTATAGGAACTTGTATTGATAATGAAAAAGCTAAAGAATTTTTGAACAATATGGAAATAGCAATGAGTAATCAAATGCTTACAGGGCTCAATATTATATTATTATATATAATGCTATCATAAGACGGGCACAACGAACTTTATATTTTATATCTGGATTTTTATCACCATTTCCAATAACATTGTTTTTATCTCCTTTAGAAGACGGTTCATTTGAAAAAATGAATTGAATACCACTAACAATACGTTCTTGAAAATAAACATCCACCTCTGTCACATAATTAGAATCTCTATTAAGATCTCTAATCGTATATGCATTTCCTCCTTATCGTTTCCTACAGCCGTTCCATCATAACCTTCATATTTAACCTTTATACAATCTACGAAAAAGCCTGCATGGATATTATATCAGTAATGACACCAGGCTTATCATCACACAATTGAAGTAATTGATCATGGTCTAATTTGTCATAATCTCCGTCTGGAAAGTCTCTCTTCCATAAATTCTACATATAGTGGTGCCAATCTCTCGAGTCGGGGCGATTGTAGGCGCTTTAGAATCTAAGAATTTATCCAATGCAAATGTGTGCAAATATATCTTCATAAATTCAATTTTTGCTTCATTGAAATATTGTGATTTTACTCTATTAAGCATTTCATAGTATCTATTTTTTGCTTCTTCATTTGGTTCTTTTCTTTGTATTTAATTGTTTTGTCAGTGATTTCGTCAAAGACTTGAGGATCTGTATTATTATAAAACTTTGATTTAATTTGATCTTTGCGTCAAGTTTCCCATTCGGAATATATGTCAACAAAATATTGTTTATATTCTTGGAGTTTATTTTTCATACGTTTTACTTGACTTATAAATTTCCTAAAATAATATATTCAAATCATTTTTTTAAATTTTAAAAGAATTATAATAATAAGTCAATGACATACTTTATGGTAAGTGTTCCTCTCTTTCAAAATAGCAAGATGCATAAACGAAAACGTGATAGCAATAGGAATTACATTTACTTTTTTCTTTCTAGTAGTCAAGCTTCCATAAAAACTATCACACTGTTTAACTAAGTCTGTCATATATTTTGATTGTTTATTTGAATTATCTCAATATCTGATAAGGCTTTGTTTAATTTTTTCGATCCTATTTTTGTCCAATTCATTTTCTAGTTCTTATCACTTAAATGCGCTTTTATCAGATCTTTTAGGTAATAGTGCAAATATATTTGTTTCATTTTCTGGAAAATATTTTGTTATCATTTTTGAAATTAGGTAATCGCATTTTTCTTTCTTGTCTTCTGAAGAATCTTTGATATGAGTATCCCACGAAGTATCATTTATATCATTTGAATTCACTCCATTTACTGATGTAGACAATTTCATTTTAAAAAAATATTTCAAAGTATTTCATTTTTATTAAAATTGAGGTTAGGTTTAGACCTAGGATTAGAATATAATTTATGCTGATTTTGTTAGTGCTAGTAAACAAAATAACGTCATGTAGATCACTGGGTTATGTCCCCGGGTTTCGATGACTTTTGAGTTTCGAGAGGCATCATTAGTTCCGAAATGAGTTTCGAGTTCCGATACGAGTTTCGAGTTTCGATATGAGTTTCGAGTTTCGATACAAGTTTCGAGTTTCGATACAAGTTTCGAGTTTCGATATGAGTTTCGAGTTTC